TTTACAAATGACGCGACTCAAAGAGAATATCGAAGAAATGACTCCTCTTCCAATGAGATGTTTGTAACCATTTCAGAAATCAACCTAAGAACTCTGCCATCTGATGTGCCACCTCCCTCTAGGCCTCCACCACTTGTCGATGTCAAAAATGGAGACTATGAAAATGGTCAAACTGCTGCTTCTGGAGGGAGAATGGGCGATAGTTCACCTACTTTCTTTGATGTTGAGATAGATTCAAGCTCAGCTGCCGCAGCCTCTGCTGCTGCTATGAAAGAAGCTATGGACAAAGCTCAAGCTAAGCTGAAGAGTGCAAAAGAACTACTGGAGAGGAAGAGGGAGGGCATCAAAAACTCTACAAAACCAGGTTCAAAGTCTGACGGAAAAGGTAAGAAGGAAAGGGCCAGTAAGGCTGTTCATGGATCCAGTGATATAAAAGATGAGAGACTGCAGGGCATCTATGAAAAAGAAGATGGTGGAGTTGAAAGATCTGTTAGAGAGGAGAGGCAAAAAGCTGTGAAAACCCAGGCACCTATTTCACTGGAAGCTGAGAAACTTTTTAATGTGCCCAAACGATTTGTAGTTGAGACGCATGGGAAGGAATCCCAATCAACTCTAGAGGTTGATGACATTGATGGAGCTGATGAATGGCAGGAAGCAACTCAATTTTTTGAATTGGTTAGAACAGATAAGTCAAGAATGGGTTTTGAGCAGACAAACAATGACAAAGTTTTGATGCAGAGCATGCAATCTTATGAGCTTCAGCATAAAGCTAAAACGGAAAGCATTGGAGCACTGGAGCTGCAACTAGACAGTGATAAGGAAGTAGAAGCTGTTAGGGAAGACCATGAACTTGAGAAAGTGGAGAGAGACATGAAAACAGCAAAAGAAAGTTGTGAAAGGGGGGAACCAACCGGGATATCAAAAGCTGCTAAAGAGGCTCGTAGGCATAAAGGGCATGAGAAAAAGGTAAAAGAAGCTCAAGAGGTCAGTGTACTGGAGGAGAATGGGCAATCTATAGCAGCACGGAAACCCTTGCGAAATGGGAAGAAACCAACTGGAGCTGATGAATTAGAACAACGGGAGAAGCGGGTAAATGCTCAACAAAAAGAAATTAAAGTTGAAGTTGGGCTGGCTATGGAACTGAAAGAGAATGGGCAGCAGGAGAAAGAGACTAGTATAAGTATTGAAAATCCGAAGAGAGTCGAGGAGAGTCAAGAAAGGGAAGGTCAGAAAAGCTGGAGGGAGGTTTTTGAGCGGGAAAAAAATGAGACAAAACTTAAACAAGCAGAGAACGAGAAGAGGCTGAGTGAGGCTCTCGAACAGGAAGAAAAAGAGAAGAGATTGAAGGAAGCTCATGAACGAGAAGAAATCGAGAAGAAAGAGAAGGAAGCTCGTGAACTAGAAGAAAGTGAGAAGATATGGAGAATGGCTCTTGAACAGATAGAGAATGAGAAAAGACTAAAACAAGCACATATGCAGGAAGTAAATGAGAGGAGACAGAGAAAGGCTCTTGAACACGAAGAGATGGAGAAGAAACAAAGAGAGGCTCATGAGAAAGAAGAAAGTAAGAGAAGATTAGAGCAGGTTACTGAGCGAGGAAAAGAAGAGAGGCAACAAAAGGAGGTTATTCAAAGAGAGGAAACCGAGAATAAAATTAAAGAGGCTTGTGAAAAAGTAGGAATTGACAAAGGGCTCAAAGAAGCTTGTGAAAAAGAAGAGACTGCAAAGAGACTCAAAGAGGTTCGTGAAAAAGAAAATATCGAGAAAATGCTAAAAGAGGCAGTTGAGCAAAAGGATTACAGCAAACCAGTGAAAGAGGTCCAAGATACAGAAGATGAAGTCAAACAAAAAGTGGTTGAGCGGGTAGAAACTGAAGAAGTGCAGGGAGTTAATTGTGTGCACCAGCATCCTGAAAGGGTTGAAAACGGGAAGAAACTCAAAATTGCTGAAGGAACTCACCAGCATGTGGAGGGAGAGGATCCTGTGGTATCTGATGAGGTAAATAAACTGGATTATAGCAAGAAATGTCAAGAAAATCAATTGGCTGGAAATAACGATCAAAATTGTGATGAGCTGGAACAAACTGAAGAGTCCACACTTGAAGAAAGTGGGAAGCTGGAGGCTGAGTTCGGAGACGGTGAAAAGCAATCAGAAGCAATGGGGAAAGGGGATGTTGATGGAAAGTTCAATGCATCTGCAATGGCACCTGGTGACTTAGAAGTTAAAGTTAACCAGTATAGAAAGGATGAGGTCTCAGACTTGTGTCATCAAGATGACGGCGTTAAGAAAGCTGGTGAAGCTGGAATTGGCATCGGACAAAGAAATGCTGAGAAGATTAACAGTGTGCCTGGAATGGACTCTGATAATAACAATCAAGGGTTAAAATTTGCTTATGAATGTAGGGAAAGAGCAAGGAATAACAAGGAGGCCCAGGTTCCCTCACATCTTGAAGAAAACAAGGATAAGCTTGTGTCAGCTCAATCAGTGAAAGAGTCTGTTGAAACTGGAAGGAAACCAGAAGTGGCGAAGTCGTCTGTGTTGGAAGGGAAAGGAAGCACTCAGAGAACAGTTCAGCAGGTCAAGATAAGTCAGAGCACAGAAAGGAGAGACAAGAATAAGAATGACAGTCTTACATCTGAGGAGAAGGACGCTGAAAGGCTGAAAAGAGACAGAGAACTGGAAATGGAACGTCTTAGAAAGATGGAAGAAGAGAGAGAGAGGGAGAGGGAAAGGGAAAAAGATAGGATGGCTGTTGACAGAGCATCTCTTGAAGCTCGTGAAAGGGGATATGCTGAAGCCCGTGAGAGGGCAGCAAGGGCTGCTGTAGAAAGAGCAACTGCTGAAGCTCGTCAAAGAGCAATGGCAGAGGCACGTGACAGATTAGAGAAGGCATGTGCAGAAGCTAGGGAGAAGTCTTCTATGGAGGCCAGGCTGAGAGCAGAGCGTGCTGCTGTCGAGAGAGCAACTGCAGAGGCTCGAGAGCGTGCTGTGGAAAAAGCAATGGCTGAAAGGGCTGCTTTTGAGGCAAGAGAGAGAATAGAACGGTCTATGTCAGATAAATTTTCAACTTCTAGAAACAGTGGAATGAGAACAAGCTCTTCATCCTCTGTGAGTGTCTCATTAATTTCTGTTTTTTATGACTTTCATGGTTCCAGACAGCATTTTGATGGATCTTAATTGGAAGGATCTACAGGATCAGCATTTCCAGAGCACTGGCTCTTTTGGTGGTGTAAGATATCCATATTCCTCTGCTTATAACGGTAGGCTATTTTGTGAAGTACTAGCTCTATTTTCTTAATACACTGCTTCATAAGATCACCTTAGAAGAAGAAAAAAGAAATCTAGTTTGCTTTTCTGCTACTGAACAAGTTTCTTTCTGTGCTTGAAGGAGTTGAAGGTGAATCAGCTCAGAGGTGTAAAGCTAGACTGGAGAGATATCGACGAACAGCTGAACGTGCGGTATGATATTTTTCTTCCGCTTTCACAAAATCTGGAATGTTTATTCATCCATACAAAAATAACATCTAGCTTTTGGATTTTTGCAGGCAAAAGCTCTTGAAGAAAAGAATATGCGTGATCTTATTGCTCAAAGAGAGCAAGCAGAAAGAAATGTATTCTTTCATCTTCTCACCTGTGAAGATATTTCTTGATTGCAAACAGTCTTTGCATTTTTCCCTGACCATCTTGGATCTTTCCTCTTTGCAGAGATTAGCAGAAACTCTGGATGCTGATGTCAAGAGGTGGTCAAGTGGGAAAGAAGGGAACCTACGTGCATTGCTTTCAACTTTGCAATATGTATGTTATATCATCCAAAATCTGTTTTGCCAAGCTTTTATTATCATTTCCCTTGTTTACTAAGTTCTTTAATTGGCTTGATGATTTGGTTACCATCATTAGGAGGCATCAAATTGTCTGTCTACCGAATGTTCTTATGGCTAATGTAGTTTGGTGCCTTAGCTTTTTTATCATGATTGCCATATAGCGTGTGATTTATTACAATCTAATTGAACTTGGTGCTGGAACTTTTCTATAATGTTATTGTGTTTGTAATTTAGAATATGGCTTTTACTTATTGCTTGTTAGGTTTTGCCTGACTAATGATAAGTGACTTAACATTCTCTCTTCAGTTTTTATAATTTAAAGCTCTAGAGGGAGTTAACTAAACTGAACTTTTTTCTCATTGGCAGATCCTTGGGCCTGATAGTGGCTGGCATCCAATTCCACTGACAGAAGTCATAACTTCAGCTGCTGTAAAGAAAGCTTACCGGAAAGCCACTCTTTGTGTTCATCCTGACAAATTACAGCAAAGGGGTGCAAGTATTCAGCAGAAGTATATTTGTGAAAAGGTCTTTGATCTTCTAAAGGTCAGTTACAGGCGTGCCACTTCTTTCCTGAACTTGGCTTGTACCATTAATGTTTGCTGCTTTAGAAATAAAGGCCACCAAACTATGTTCTACACTAACTTTTTTGTTGCCTGTTGATCTCAGGAAGCTTGGAACAAATTCAATTCAGAAGAGCGGTAGCCCGATAGCCGAGTCTTGGTATGGATGCCAATTGCATCATATTACAAATTATTATTATGTTTTTGTAAATTTACACCCTTAGCTCGTAAATATCCGCATATCTATTTTATACTTCTAGTGCTCCATGTAATTTGAGTGTAATTTAAGCCCAAAGAATTAGGTGAAACGATTTTTGGTTACAAGGATCTCTCTGTTCTTAGTAACCGAGAAAAAGGATCAATTACCATTACTCATGCAGATAATTTATGTTTTATTGCTGGATGTAAGAGACTTTTACCAAGGTAGAGACAAGGCATCCAGAACTGCAAAAAGATATGAAGGTCATTCTTCTTTCAATCTGACAGCTTACAAATCTATGCTTCCTTCAAACAAACAGGTAGTAAATTTATTGCCACAGAAGTGAAACCAACATCTAAAACCATGATGTTCTAGATTTTGCCAACAGCAGCATGGTCATTGTCGTTTGAACAACGAGGAATCGGTCCCTTCTCAACGCAGGTCCCAATGGCTCCTGTGGTCATGTCCTAGAAGCCATACTTGAACTGGAACCCCAGGCCCATCAACTTCTTAGAGGAGAAAGAGATCACTTCCAAGTCTTCTTCAACACCCTCGAACCTGAGACGTGTATGTTACTTACCATATAGAACAAAGTCTTACATTATCCTAAAGGTTGAAGACAAAGTTTATAGTGTCCTGGATGGGGATGTTGTATCCTGGGTATTTCTGCCGAAGCATTTCCTCCAGATCGAAGATGGTTGTATCATGAGAAGAGCAAATGATTCGACCATGGGCTTCAGGGTTCTCGTACAGGAAAACAAGAGCATTGCAAAGATCATCCAAATGCACATACTGGCATTGCTTTATGATAGAGTAATGCCCTTCATTTCCTGCAAGCAATATATGATGACTAATTTATATCATGGTGATTAGGGATATCAGATTAGAATAAAGCTCTGATAAATGATATGGTATGATGTACTCGTTATCAAGGAAAGTGCAGTGATTAGGCTTGGTGGCATCGATGGCATGATCAATGGGCCAACAACGGGAGTTGGTATAACGCTGATGAAATCAATGTTGTTCTCTTTAGCAGCTTCCCATGCTGCTTTCTCTGCCTGTGTTTTCGATGCAAAATACATCTGAAACAAGAAATAAAGAAATGCTCACTGCTTTGGATGAGAACTCCATCTTAATAGTAATATATGTAATAGTATGTACGTAAATGTAGTAGTGCACAAACGGGGTTAATTTCATTAATTCGATAAAGGAAATATTTTTAATTAAATTAATCGAACCGGTCCAAAATAAAATTTTAATCAATTAAGTAAATTAAAATGGTTAATTATTGAATTAACCTATTTTTTATATTATTATATACACATATATTATATAATATGTTTATATTACTATATATACGTTATAATTTATAAATTGTTTATAATATAAATCAATTAATTTAAAAAAAAATCAAAATGGAAACTGTCTGAATTAATTGTGTTTATTTTTTAATTAATTTATTAATCAAATTAACCAAAACCTCTTTTAATCAAATTTTTTCACTAAGTCAATTTTAATTAACTGAAAATTGCTCACCTCTGTGTAAATGTGTATATAGCTTTAGGGTATTAATATCTTTTTCCTCCTATGTATACGTATAAACCTAAAGAACCCTAATTTTTGTTATTAAATGAAAAGCAGTCTTCTTCATCTAAATTCGATATAACAACACCAACCCATCCGGTCATCTTCGTGGCTCTGATGAAATCAATATCGATCCAACAAGTCTCATCATACTGGACAAGTTTCCGTTCCTGCATGACAACAGTTCCAGCGAATGACACAAACACCAACCTTTCCACAGTTTTTGCATTAGCGCATGACTTTATGATGCTCAACGCCCCATCTACTGTCGGCTTAATCACTTCATTCTGTCCAAAAAACAAAACAGAAGACAATATTAGAGATCAGGTTGTAGCCACAAACTTCACTATTCCACATGGTTGCAGTAATGGAACAGTGCTGTTCGACAGGGTTGGGTCATATGCAAGCATAGTTTTGATGAAACGGTAAGGAAAAACGTCGATATATAAAAACATTGTTTGTGTACAACCTCAGGGTCTTGTGACTCGAAGTCCATAGGCGTGGCTACATGGAAGACTCCCAAGCAACCTCTGACGGCCTCGTCGAAGCTGCCGTCTTCCATAAGGTCTGCCTTCCGCAATGTCAAGTTTTCATCAGCTTTTGGCAGCTCTAGCAAATGCTTCACCTTGTTCAAATTTGCTGCAAACCAACCCCGGAATTCTGTGTTAGAACTACTTTAATCTTAGATCAAGAAAGCAAATTATTATAATTAGCTGATATATAATTGACCGATGCCGGGGTCGCGAACGGTTGCTTTAACTGTGTAGCCCCGTTGAAGAAGCCTCATGACTAGCCAGGAACCAATGAAACCGGCAGCTCCTGTGATACAAACCCTGGCAGCTGTTTGGCCTTCCATTTTTACTGTTTTTCCCAAGTTTGCATCAGTGCCACCCCAACATACATAGCTGGTAACCAAGTCCCTTGCGTTAATTACAACTTGAACGTACAAAAGTTCCAAATTTCGAACAAAACAAATCCAATAACCCTAGGATGGTTTGTTGCCAATGAGGTAACCAATAAATGGCTGCGACTAAATTAACTAACCTATTTGCCAACCTCTATCCTCTCCATGTTGGCGAGAACCATAGTTATTTTGTAGTAAAGCATAATTCATATGTAACAGCTATCCTTCGTTAGCACCTACACTATAAAAAATCAACTCATTTTCAATCAAAAAAGGCTATTTTCGATGGAAAATTTCACAGAAAAAACCTTAAACGATAAAAATCTTCCGTAAAATATTATTGATAAAGAGTTTATGAGAGAAATAATTAATAAAGAGTTACAACAAATATAATCGGTCGGTAGAGATATAATACTAAAAGAGCCATAAATGGGTTTGGAGTGGTCATCACTCAAAATATTAAAAGAGCCACGTTAAGGTCTACTGTTGTTGAAAGGAGTCCCTAAGGTTTTGAGATACCGTACATGGCTTTTTAATATGGAAAATCCCCAGGAATTGGCCAATTGTCCCTGCGTCGGAAAATTCAGTAGCTCTGCATCTCTCCCAACAGCGAAGTATATTTTGGCAACATAACCTGACCAACGTTGACGTGTACCTTCCAACACCACTACTGCGTTATGACACCACTGCTGAGCTTGACACACGACACAATCCTAGGTGAAATCATCGACAAAAAGTACATTAAAAAAGTTTCTAAAGATTATAACAGTAATAATTTAATATTAAATGTTTATTACAAACAATAAATAAGACTCATAATTTTATAAAAATAATAATATAATAAATTTTTTATATATTTTTTTAAAAAAGTTAAAATTAAAAAAAAGGTAAATGAGAAAAAAAATTAAAAATAAATATCATAAATAAAAAATAATTAATTATATATATGTAAAATAATTGCCGAAGATAATTAAATACGTTAATTGATTGAAAATAAAAAAAATAATTGAGGGAAAAATTATTAGAAAGTATTAAATATATATTAATATTAGTTTATTAAAAATAATAAAAATAATTGAGAATTAATAATATTGTAAGAATTGAGAAACGATGAAAAATTTAAATTTATTAAATATATAATTAAAAAAGTAAAAAATATATTATTTTAATTTTTATATAAAAAATTAATTAAATAATTAAATAATAATAAAATATAAAAAGAATAAAATAGATATCTATTAAGTTTAAGAGAATAGATAAATATTTTATTAATTATTGTAATTTTTATATATTTTTAATATAATTAATTATATCCTTTTTATAAAATTAGAGGTTTGAGCCGGCGCTGTAACATTAGAAACTGGAAGGAAAGCTACCCAGCAGGCCTAGAGGCGAGCGCTGAGAAAGATGAACATATGAAAAAAACAAAAACCACTTGGCTTCTGAAGGGTATTATTCCGACCCCTTTATTCATCCACGTCGGATTATTTAATACTTCAAAGTCCTTTCCAAATCAAATGACAGGCAGGGATGCAACATAGGAATGGAGGGTTTCTTATCTTTTTTGGGTCTAGTGCTTTCCAAGTCCATTAAATTTCTGCACGAGCCTTCCTGCTGCCCTTTCTTTCTATAATTTATTTTTGTTTTCGGTTGTTGGCTTTTCTTTTATTGAATCGTGGGATACATTTGGATTTCTACAACTAGCTAACTGGTGGAGTTCCAATCAGGCTGCATGGTCAAGCATGTGCTTTTTGTCCATGTAGGCTCACACAACATATGCCTACTTATTTATCAGAAAGAGTTCCAGTGAGCCAATTACCTTTCATATATGATGAATTGTGATAACTTGCCCTAATTTTTCATTATTCAATGCCGTTTTTAAATTGAAGTATTTTGTAAGGAAATTTTCCTGTTTTCTTCATTATGAAGAGAAATGAAAAGAAAAACGTGATTGAATCTAAATGTCAAAATTATCAAAACCCACATTGCAAGTCCAAAAAGGACAATTGCATAATGAATACTATATGCTTCCCTCATCCGATGACTTATCTTGTCATATCTCCATGAATGTTTAATAAATTAATGTTTTGTCAATATAAAATATATGCAATCATTAAATTTTATTATACATTTTTTAAAAGTTTTTCTTTAATATTTTCGATGTTTTAATTCTATCTTCTAGCATATCTGTTTTCCCTAGCTGCTTTCCTTTTTGTCCATGGAGGATAGCTTTGAAGTCCCACCAGACGAAAATTTCGTCGTGTTTGTTGAGGATGGCGACGAAAAGTCAAAAGTCCAAATCAAAAGAAGAAATTTGCGAAGCCAAAAGAGTCGTAGCAAGCTTTGCCAGCATGTACCACACCTACTAATAAATTTTATGTTAAAAAATAGAGCAGCCCGCAACACACCTAACTACGACCAGGTTTAATCAAAGAAGGCGGTGCATATCCTCTACGAGTATGACTGTTTTATTATTCTCCAGTCCACCATTGTCACCTACCTTCGTTTTCTATATTTCAAACTCTGTGCTGTTCACATAATCATCTTTGCTAGCTGCCCATATTCCTCTTATCGTCACGCCATGGCCATGCTTAGAGCTTTCAGCACCAGGAGAAGCCGTGGCGGCTACGAAAGGTTACTTGAAGTTGAAGTTGACGAGCCTGTCACGAGCACTGGTCACTTTGAAGCACAGCTGAAGAGGGCTAGAAGTGTGCCAGCTCGAGTTTTTGGTTTGTCAAGAAGGTTTACCCCGGCATTGGCCTTGCCTGAAAATTCTCAAGTGAAGTCGAAGTCGTCGTCGTCGTCGTCGTCCACCAAGAAGGTTACCAAGAGTCACCCACTTTTCAGCCTCTTCGATGCTCGTCGTAAGAAGAAAACAACGGCAAAACCAGAATTCGCGAGGTATATAGAGTATCTCAAGGAAGGAGGGATGTGGGACCTGAAGGCAAACATGCCTGTGATATACTACAAATGAACAGGTGTTTTCCTACTTATTATTGAGCCAATTGCTCGATTATTTGAGAGACACAGGATTTGAATTTTTTTTTAAATACGTACATTGATGGTTTAATGTATTAAATGTTGAAATGTAATTTTTATGATTTTTCATTAGTTTATTTAAATAGTTCTTTAAATTTCCAGAAGGCTCCACTTTCATCAACCGGTGCATTGATTTTGCAGTTGGAATCAGTAATTAATTCCAACACTGAAATTCTACTCTAACTTGCATCAGCAAATTCACTTACAATGAAAAATTTTGCTTTTGTGTTAATTGTTTTCATTTTAGTTGATAGAGGTACTTAGTCCAATCAAAGTAATGTTCGATACATCCATCAATCAAAAAATTAGGTAAAGAAATTCAACCCTAAAGTGTTTTTTTTTCAAGATTGTAATTATAATTAAAATTTTAATTATAATCAATAACTTTCATATATGTCACATTTATGAATCAATATAGAATTAAATTAAACTCATGTACGTTTAAATTTAAACTTAAAATTTTTGAATTTAAAATTTAAACATTTCGAAATTCGTTCCTTACCCTCGAGATGAGATCGCATTGGCAATGTCTTCCTAAAACCCAACATTGTGTGAACAATTTGAAAAAAGTGCAATTGAATATTGGAACTCCTAATGCTATATAATTCAAACTGTCCATGTTCAATGAGTGAAGTCTTGATTCAAATCACCACTAGTTTTAGTTTTAAAAAAAATATGCATAATTGCTAGTAGCCTAGTAGCTAGTAACACAATATAGTCCATTTTCCCATCATCATCGTCACTAAAGCCACTAGATAATGGAAAGGTACATAACCATAAGTAGCCTCCCAATTCCAACCCATTGCCCCACCCTAGATTCAGAATCCCAACAATTGGGATTTTCCCAAATAGTTTCATTCCCCTCCATGGTTGCAGATATTGACAGGACCTAGCTTGGATTTTTATGGGCCCAATCACCAAGAGAATATGGGCCTAAACGGCCCTATTTCCAAAAAGCAAAGGCTTTTCTTTCCTTTATATGATGATGACCGATTCCATTTCTTTTATAGCCTAGGTCAGCCATTACTTAAGCACTACCCTCAAAATAAATAAAAAATTAACACGTATTGAGTTTCCACCTGGACCGTCAATTTCCAGATTCCAGATGTTTATTTTATTTGATAAAATCATCACAAGATTCTTGTTGCACGAAACAACTAAAAAAAAGCTTTGGTCAAGGCACACGCCCCTGTGACATCGAAACCACAACGAGAAATTAATCTTATGATTTTTTTTTTCTAATTAAATTGTTTAAAGTTAAAACTAATTTGCTTTACCAATTAAAAGGATTTCCAATATAAGTAATTAATTAATTATTTTTTTAAATGGAGCCGTTGATTTTTGGCACGTGGAGATTTAACGATCATAAAATTTGAGAGGGTGATGGTGAAAAAGTTGTTCCCAAAAATAAATAAAGCTCATGGACCATTCACCTAGCTTTAATGTCATGTTCTTTTCACCACACCACCCAAAGATATTTTCGTTTGTTCAAACTTTTGAATTCTTACCGTTTTAAAGTACAATGCTTTGTCAATACGTAGCATATAATTATTAATTATAAAAATTTATTTAATTTAAAATAAAAATATAATTAAATATAATAATATAATAAATATTTATTTAACCTTTTAAAGATAACTTAAATTTTTTTTAAGTCTTATATCTTATTTTTAGAACTAAATGAAGAGGGAGATTTTTTATTTTATTTGTTAAGCAACGAAGAAGGAGATCTAACTATCACATTTGTCATTTGTTCAAATGAAAAACAAAACATCTTCATTAAATCATTATGCTCTTTTTAATGAAAATATATACTTTTAAGCCAACTAGAATTATTCAAATTATTAAATTTTTTAACTTAAAATATTAATATTTAAGTTAGTTAATGCTATAAAAATAAAAAACATTTTTAATGAAAACATTCAATGCAATTAAAATTTTTTATTTATAAATTAAATAGATTTTACTAATAATTATGATAAAAAAATTATTTCAATTATTGTCATGTGATGAATTAAATTTTTTATTTGCACATTTAATAAAGTTTATTAAATATTTATAATAGAAATTTAAAATTATAATGAGTAAAAAAATTAATTTTCATTGAGTCAAAAAAAATTGAAAAAATGTAAAAAGTCCTTGCTTAATTTTGCCGCTGCCTCTTCATTCATAAGCTGACCTACCCCCTGGTCTTTTAATTATTTCGCCGTTTTGCCAAGGCAAGGAAGGTTCCGGTTTCAAACTTATCACAACGAAAAATATACACGAATCAGTCCAAACGATGTCGTATCACCTCACAAAACGGCAAGCAGCGGATGTTTTCATCGTTTGCCCCAATCTTCCGAACACTTTGGAGACTTCCTACATATTTTATCAAAAACCCGAAACTGTCCCTCCCCAACGAATCCCTGCTTTCCTCCCCTAGTTAAGGTCAAATCCGACATTTCAGCAGCTAGGAATAGCAAAAATTTTTAGCGTTTGAAATATTTGCGGAGAGAAGTGGAGGCAGCCCTCGCGATAAAAACTTGGGGAAGAGGTTTCCAACTTCTTTTCTTCATTTGGGAAGATCAGACAAGAGTTTTAGTTTTTAATTTGTTTTATGAACCTGAATGTTTTAATTCCCCGTAGCATGTCTCTTCTTTTAACGGGCTCTTATCTGATCTCTCCGATATTTTCTCGACGCCCCACCATCACCACCGCCGTCGCCTCTGACGCCTAGGGTTTCTTCTAGAAGGATTCTCTCCTTTTTAGCATATAAGGTGATAAATCTCCTTTCAGTTTTTATATATGGAATTCTTTTATTTTTTTTAGGTTTTTCGTTGTTTTTAAAATTTTTTTCCTGTTTTTGAATTAGCTGCTCTTAATATCTCCGTTATATTACGGATGCGTTGCGGTTTTTCTTTTTAATGTTGAACTTTTCTCAGCTTCCAAACGAAGCCTTCACAAAGAAATGGAGTTTTGAACCGTTTAAGGTTTTTTTTTGTTTGTTTCGTTTCCTTTGTAAACTAGAAGAGGAAACGATTCAATTTCTTTATTTTTTTTTGGACTTTTCGTTTCCTTGTTGATGCTCTTGTTATTTATCGGTTTATAATATTTGAGGTTTTTCTTCCTTTTTTTGTTTTTTGAATTCATCTAATAGTTAATATACATGCTTTAAAATTGTATATTTAATAAACAATTATCATGTTTTCTTTATTTTGCCGTTCGGTTTGGTTGCTGTTGAAATCAAGAGGAATTCTTATGTGTTTCACTCTAGCTGTGTCTAATAGCACTGGTTTCGGCTTCACGTTTTATCATTTACTCATACTTATATAGAGCTTTTATTTATTTATATAATTTAAGATATTATTTAGCTCTATATGATTTCTGATTCAAATCAGCCAATAGGTTTTTTTTTTAAGAAAAAAATTTTAATTTTAGTATAACAGACACAGTATAGCTGAATAGTTGTGTTTATATAAATTCACATACCCTTTTCTTTTCCTCAGCTAACGAGTAGAACTTCAGGATTGTTTGAGCTGTTTTAATTTTTGTTCCAATTTTTCTGGTTGTTAATTAGGAAAGGAATTAACCTAAACTTTTTTTTTTTGGCTGTGGGTTTTTACCTCACAGCCACAACTAGAGGCAGGAGTAAAGTAGTTACAATATTAGAATTTGAATTTTGTTGTTTCCATCATTTTAATCTTTAGCAGATAAAAGTTGTAGCTGAGTTGGTGAAACTAAAAAATAACAGCTATAAGTTTAATTGAGGGAATCTTCTAAAGTTCATGGATGGTAGAATGTTCTCAAATGTAGCAACAATGAGTTTTTCTTCTTTCCCTTTCCTTCATGTCTTTCTCCTATGAGAATGATACATAAGGTTTAATGACTTGAGGTTTTGTTGTTTGATTATGCAGAGCCATGCCAACTTTTAGTGCTATAGCTTTGGATAGGTTTTTAGAACCTGGAACTTCCAAATCTGTCGACAAGTCTGGTCCTAATTTAAAACCACCTATCCCCAACCCAAAGCCTATTACTAATTCAAAGCTGGAGAGGAGGAACAGTACATCAGTAACAGAGAGGAAGGTTAATCGCCCCCAAATATCACCTGCTCTCTATGCTACTCCTGAGGCAACCCCACTACCCGATTCACCATCTTCTTTCCCTCCTTCACCTTACATCATCAATCACAAGCGCCGTGGGCCTCGCCTTTTGAAGAGCTTTTCTGAGGACAATGTATCATCACGGCAAAAAGCCCTTGAAGAAAATGAGGTTAACGGGATTGCAAAGCTGGCAGAAACCAAGTCTGTTGATTCATTGAAGGATGCTGTTACTTTTAGCATTCCTGAACCTAATGAAGAGGAGCATTGGAATGATGGCCATAATGGTTCTATGAAAATGGAGCAGGCAAATGGTGTCTCTAATGGTCCTGTCAAAGTGGAGCAGGCAAATGGTCTCCATGGTGGCTCCATTCAAGATGAGCACATGAACGGTGCCCATGCTGGTGAATTTGGGAGCAGTAATAGGGAAGTTGGAAGCAGCCAAATGAGTAATGGTTTGGCCAGGGATAGCGCTGTGCTTGTTCCATTGGACTTGGACAGATGCGGTGACAGTGAAGATTTCTTTGATCCAAATGAATCAATGAGTGTCACAAGTAATACCGAGGGAGATGATGATACTGGGGCAGAAAGTGCTGCAAGGCTTGCTACACCAAGGGTGGAGTTTTTTGATGCATATGACGGTATGTAGAGTTTTATTTTAGCATGTTCTTATGTAGATGCATATATGTTAATATAGGCACTTTTTTGCTGGAAAATATTTTTCTTGCATGACTGCCATTTTGTTTCTAAAACCTGATTTGTATCTAGTAGGAGTGTGATATTAGGATTTGTACATGAATATCCTAATTTTATGCTAGCCCTCTTCTTTATTTAAATGTCTTGATGGTATTTTATAGATAACAATGAAAAGACATTTTTTTTTTATTTTGATGTGTCTATGTTGACGTCTGCACATTTATACACATTTGGATTTGCCTGGAACATGAGATATTATTCTTGAACTATTGAGAAATATGGAAAATTATCCATAGCTTTTTGCGTAATATAGGATAGCTCAACAAATGTGATGATTTTTTGGTTTTGGACTTCGAAGTTGTTTTGGCATGCTTACTTAGATTTGTTGTTTTCTCCAGAATTATCCTCTGAGAGTGGACCGCAGTCTCTTCTTCATGACATAGATGCTGAACTGCATGAAATAAGATTGAGTTTACTCATGGAGATAGAGAAGAGGAAGCAGACAGAAGAAGCTCTGAACAAGATGCGGTGTAAGTGGCAAAGAATCAGCCAAGAGTTGGCTGTTGAGGGATTGTCACTGCCTGTGGATCCTATTGATGTGCCAGAGGATGAGCTGGTGATACCAGCTAAAGAACTGAGGCAGCAAGTGGGTGTTGCAAGATTTGTATCGTTATCTTTGGGACGGGGCATTGCAAGGGCAGAGATGGAGACGGAGATGGAAGCTCAAATTGAATCGAAGAACTTTGAAATTGCCCGGTTGTGGGACCGGCTACACTATTATGAGGCTGTGAATCGGGAAATGTCTCAGAGGAACCAAGAGGCTGTAGGTGAGAGCTTTGTATCCTAATTTTCTTTCCCTGGAGCAATCAGTTGTTTGGAAAAAAAAAAGAAAAACACCAACATTCGTTGAACTGGTTTCTTTAGTCTGATCCTAATTGTTGGAATTGTCATACGGCATGTTTACATATTCTAATATTTGTAACTTCGTACAGAGATGGCACGGCGCGACAGACAAAGGAAGAAAAAAAGGCAGAGATGGGTCTGGGGTTCAATTGCGGCTGCAATTACCCTTGGCACTGCAGCCTTGGCTTGGTCTTACCTCCCAACGGGAAAAGTGCCGTCTTCTTCTAGTAGTTCTCAGGCTCCTGACCATGATGATGCAGCCAAGTGATAACTTACTCAAAATTCAATATAGCTGTCATCGTAGCAAGAGAATAAGATGCGCACACTCTTCCCCGTGACTAGCAGTCTCCTGCTTTTGTTGGTAGCAAATATATCTCTCTGCCATGAGCCATCATCAGAGGATGTACAGTAGTACCATCAAAAATAATTTTTGAGTACTCCTACTAGTTTATTCCCCTCCCTGGCGATGTGGGAGGTGATGAATGTCAATTATATCGGCCTTTGTTACCCAATTTTGGCCTTCTTGTGCGCGTTATGCACATATAATCTCGTGGGATTTTCTTTTTAACCAAAGGTCTCTTTTGATTCAGGCAGATATCTTTCCTGTGCCGAAGAGGCATCGCCTAAATTTTGTTGTCAGATTTTCTTGCGGATGTTTCAAAGATGAAGAGTTAAATTGGAATAAATCAGAAAGATGATTGCTATGAATTATAGTTAAAAGAATTTGTCTACCATTCTATCAAAAAATTAAAAAAATAGTTATATTTTAAAAAGTTTTTGAACAAAAAAGTTTAAATAAATTTTAAAATTTTTATTTCTTTTTAATTAACTTTTTATATTTTTAGTTTTAAATTAAATAAGTTTTTATTAATAACGGTTATTGATTATGGTGCTGATGCTTCAAGTTGCTTTCTTAGATTACCCTAAGATGAGGAGGCTTTTTTAAGTATAATGGCTTAAGGTCAACTTATTTACCAAGTAGTGTTCAAAACGGTGTGTGTTATTTATTCGAAGCTGGATATAAAGATAAACTAAAAATTATGAATTATCCGCTTGTTTAAAGTTCAGAAATGGAGGAACAGTGTCAGTGAAGCTGTCGAAGAGGCTGAGTACGCATTCGAGCTCCGATAATGGAGCTAGTAGCTCTTCACATTTCTCCGACGTTCGCAAGGGAAAGTTTCTTGACCGCCAGAGATAACAACCCCTCTGTTTTCGGTCACTACGTTCGAAATCGGTACAAAAAATCGCGGTTCCGATTTGAAGCTCGAAAAACCGGTTCCCGGTGCTGGAATCCGAACAAGATTCCCCGGTTAGATTTTATCCAACAGGAACTTGAAAGAAACAGCGTCATAGAAGATTCGGAGGAAGAAGCGAGTATAAGTGGTGACGAGGAGTCTTTACTGTCTTTGAGTGAAAAGCCCGATAGGAACATGGCTTTTCTTGACGAGTACGAGTTAGAAGAGCTTGATTTTGCCTCTCACGCTAACCACCGCAGCGGTTTGTAGTCTTAACTTATCGCTCTTTTTGTTTTCTTTTCTGTTTAATTCTCTGTTTAAAGTTATTAAATCTTGCGAAAATTAGTGAAGGGTATCCCGTTGAATTCTTGCTTTTGATAAGAGCAAAAAAGGATCATAATTGATTAAAACGCTACAGCAATTCTAATATACTTGCTTAATGTGAAAGTAAAATGTTGCGTTTTATTAGTAAGAAATGTATTTCAATTTTTAATTTTTCTGAAGTATGGTATACATTTATGTTAAAGGCACTTTCTTTTGATTGTTATCTAAGAAATTGCCGACGATTTCATCGTCTGATGTTGTTTTTTTCTTAACACTTGGTGAGTTGAATTGCAGGGTATGTGGCTGTACTTGGGAAGCCGAATGTCGGAAAGAGTACACTTGCTAATCAAATGATCGGTCAAAAGTTGTCGATAGTTACAGATAAACCTCAGACTACAAGGCATCGAGTCCTTGGTATATGTTCTGGCCCAGAATATCAGGTTTGAAGAATTATAGTCCTTTGTTAGATAGATTTTGTTTCTGGTGTTAGACTTATAGATTATGTAGCAATTTCTGAGACCATAAATGACGGCTTTATGTTTAGTCCCTTGACGACTTAAGGGCAATATATGTTTCATTTCTCATTTGTGTGATCCTGGGCTTTGCTTGCAGATGATACTATATGACACTCCAGGTGTCATTGAGAAGAAAATGCACAAGTTGGACTCTATGATGATGAAGAATGTCCGAAGTGCTGCCTTAAATGCAGACTGTGTTATTGTTCTTGTTGATGCATGTAAAGTGCCTGAAAAAGTATGCTTCATGGTTTTTAGAATTCTTTGTTGAACTTTCCCCACTTTTTCTAAGTTCAGTGTGTTATGTCTAGATTGATGAAGTGTTAGAAGAAGGTGTAGGAGATAACAAGTGTACGCTGCCCACTTTGCTGGTTTTGAATAAGACAGATATGATAAAACCAGGAGAAATTGCAAAAAAGCTTGAGGTAAGAATCTGTTGAGTTATATATTTGCTTGCTTGTGGACATTCCTTAAAATTTAATATTGAAAATTTTTGGTGTAACTTATTGGATTGTTGAGAAATAGATATAGAAATGCTCTCTGTTAGCAATCGATTTATTGCATTGCAAATGTTTCTCACCTCACCTTTGGTGCTGAACAAGCTTTTCTAATGACTGCCTGTTGTCAGACCTACAATAAGACTAAAGGGCATGGCTTTGGTGACCAATTTTCCTTGCAATGTGTAGGGTGTGTGCTTTACCTTGTCTCCCTATGGCCCTTGCAATTGAACTACCGTTTGATATGAGGTTCTCATTCATACAATAATGAACATTTATCAATTTATTTTTTCTGTTTTTGTAGTCTAGATTATGAGAATTTTTTGTACATTACATGAAAGAAAGAAGCAAAGTTGAACATTAGTCTTAAATGTTGCTTAGACCCTTAACCGAAGTTTGCAAATAGTGTTCTCATTTCTCTTAGGAAGTTTTTTAAGAGTAGTATCTGCTCCATATTGTTTCTATCACCTATTTGGAACTGTGTGGTTTGCATGAATTTCAACTTTCACGCATCAAATTTTGGGTTCATTCCCCATGTCCTGTACTTTTAAATTAGTAGCGCATGTAATTGTGTTCAGATTTCAAGGATGGTCCTTTTTATGTTGGTTTCCTAATTATAGATCCTATGCCTTGCAGTGGTATGAGAGATTTACTGATGTCGATGAGGTCATACCTGTGAGTGCAAAGTTTGGTCATGGGGTAGATGATGTCAAGGATTGGATATTGTCCAAACTTCCAACTGGGCCACCTTACTATCCAAAGGTATGTAGTAAGTCAACAGATTTCTTCTTTAATCATGAAAAATGGTGCTAGTTCTTGTGTTGTTGGTAATATTACCTCAAACTTGTCCAATATTTGGGGCCAGTTACATGAATTGCTTTTAAAATGAAAATCAATGTTATAACAAGAAAAATCTTTACCCAATTCAAAGCAAGAAGCAGCTGTTGATGCAGATCTCCTTTGTGTAGCTTATTTTGAGCTTAGTCTATGAGCATAAAACTGCAGATGTACCCAGACTCAGGTGCTACTAGAGTACAGTTTTCTAATGGAAACAAAAGAGCCTTGAGGGATGTTTTTACCTTCTAAACTCTTAAATCTCTGAAAAACTTTTAATACGAAATGTTCTTTTCTTATTTTATCCTTGATACGCTATTAAGCGATAAAAAATTTATTGATATTCTGGATTGGTTGGTACGTAAACATATCTTGAGCATAGTTGAGAGGGACCTTCGTTTCCTGAGCTTGTAAATTATACAGTATTGGGGACATGATATGATAATTTTGTGAACTTGCATCTAGCAAGTATGCAGATAACTGAGGATTTCATTCTGTAGCTGAGATATGTTCTTCTTTTGACAACTTACCGGGAACAGTTTGTTCTATGAACAACCTCCTAAATCAACAGTCACATTAGGCTTCATGATAATTGTTGCCTAGCTTTCCCTCCAAAAGAATGTTATCCAGTTTTTAAGGGGCTTGAAAAATCAATTGCTTCTTGCATGTGAACACTTCTTTTTTATGCATTATCAGGACATTGTCAGTGAGCACCCAGAGCGGTTCTTTGTAGCTGAAATTATCAGAGAAAAGATATTTATGCAGTACCGCAATGAGGTTCCTTATGCATGTCAGGTATGGGACTACAATTATCAAGATTGCCAGCAAGATGTAATTATCAACCCAACCTCACCAAATTTCTTATGGGTACATATCCGTTTCTTGCAAATTTTCCAGGTAAATGTCGTGAGCTATAAAACCAGGCCAACTGCAAAAGACTTTATACAAGTAGAAATCGTTGTTGAGAAAGACTCCCAGAAAATCATCCTAATTGGAAAAGTAAGTATCATCCTGTGTTTGTTGGATTTTTGCAATTTGCTTGATTCGTTGCGGTGGTCCTTTGAGCTTGATGAATAGTTCTAAATTAATTAATTTAATTTAAAATCTAAATAATGCACGTCTGCACGTGCATATGTACACCTCCTAACCTTCCTTTGATTCCTTGTGAATTCCACTACCGAAGGGAGGGAAGGCTCTGAAAATACTTGCAACAGCTGCTCGACTTGACATAGAAGATTTCTTACAGAAGAAAGTCTTCCTTGAGGTACGAACTTAAATTCTAATGCTTCTCTTAATTATCAATGGTACACTGTGCCTGGTTTACTTTTGGACCTCATGTTTGTGCATGTCATTAAAACCATTTTCATTATCACTATCGCTAATGCTCTGCATTAAGGAAATTCATCAATCCCTGTGGTTTTGGTCAAGCATGGTCACCACATACTAGACATTCATCTTAAGGCAACGAATTCTATAAACAGGTTCAAGTGAAAGTAAAAGAGAATTGGCGGCAAGATGAAGGGCTGTTGAGGTATTACGGCTACGGGGGGCAGATTCGAGCACTATAACATTTGTCTCACATTTGATACAAGTTGTCTTCTTATAATAGTAAAGAGTAGCTCTATGGTTGTATGATAAAAAATGTTTTCAATCAGTTTTGTACTGAGTAGGCTCAAGAAGCATGGCAATGGTGTAAGATTTCATCATCCAGAAAGTTTTATCCCGTAGGCAATATGTTCAAAATCCATCCATAAAGTACAAATATATCATTAATATCCGGTCACCCACATTGTCTTTTGTCCCCATGAAACCGGTAATGATCGGTTTTCTGGCTAATGGTAGTGTTCCCGGGTTTTGCTATAGACGAGTGTTTTTTTATCACTAACCTGTACACGAGCAGGAATGGTGAAAGCTGTAGTTGTTGATCTGGGGAGTGTTTTTTTAGCGGATGATCTGTTGCCACGTGTCGGAAAAAGTGATGGGTCCGTAGGTTGCCCCATGTTTTTTGGTCGAAGTATTGAACCTTCATTGATTGGCGTAGGATGAGGCGTTTAATCTGTCGGCTCACGCAATTTATGACCAGGGAAAAGTGGATAATGTTCTGACGATTCCGAAGTGAAACATACGTGCGAATGTTTTCATCATAGTTTAAATGCGAGCATGAGACATTATAAATATATAATTAGATGTAACAAAATAAATCAAAATCAGCAAATTTGATCAAACTCGAATTAATAAAAAGTTACTTTCGTTTTAATCTTAATTCGAATTCAATTCAAATTTGAAATGATAATATATGACTCAAATCCGAAATGATTCCATTTAGACCAGTCTATTTGTTACCTCTATATATAAGGAAATTGGTGGAGTTGGGTACTATTTTCTTCAATGCAAATATGGTAGAGTTGGGTAATATAAGATTGTCGGTTTGTCTTTTTAAAAGATAAGTACACAAGGCAGGGTTAAAAAGTGCAGAAGAGAGTGGTATGGTAGGCATATTGTTCTTAAGCATCGAGGGGTGGAGCATTGATGGAACAATGGCACATGGAGCAATGTGGGGGGACATTGGCCTAAACGGGAGTGGTGGGTCATGCAAAAGGGTGCTCTAGATGCCAACTCTCACATGGCTCAACCAAGGAAAGCCACAGCCACAATGTCGCGTGGTGGTTAAATGAAGACAGAATTCAAGAAAGATCGACGAGTACTTGATGATGATAAGCTTTCTGTTCTCGCTGCAAAGAACGACGAGGGAGAAGTGATACGTTTTCCATGGAACGGAAATTATAGCCACGGAATTCTGACCGTATCTGACTATCTGTTCCCCTGGTACAGAAGGAATAGAAGAAGATTGAACCCTTCCCTTGGAACCCACCCCTCAAAGTTAGAACCTGGTCCTGATATTGGCTCGTACCCCATGTGTACGGCCATGGTTGGTTGGTTTAGGCAGGTGAAAAAAAGCAAAAAGGAGCTTCTCACAATCTCATTGGGGTCCATGCTCTTTGTGTCTTTCTCCATAACGAATCTTATTTATATAGCAAACGTAGACAGAATTGAAACTTTTTTCTTTCTTTCTCCCTTTTCTTCCAACCCCACCTGTTTCCCATGCGTTGCATGATGACACCGAACAACAGATAAGAGCATAGTTTTGACATAAGACATAATGTTGATGATCCATGTGATTAAGGGCCAACTGAAATAAGCTAGACAGCTACAATAAAAGTAAAAGGATGCAATGTTTTTCCTTCCGAAGGCAGTAAAAAAGTGAACCTCGGGGAACCTTGTCAGTTTCTCTCTATTGACGGTTACTGTTGGTTTCTTTTTTATTATTTAAACAAGTGTTGCAGTTACATGAGGACAAACTGTTTAAACAGCCTCATCATCTTTTCTGCAGCTTTTGAACAACACCCTTCACTCCATTCAGCTAAGAAATTCCCTTCTCCACAGAAAGAGAGATAGAGAAAATGAAGCATCTGGTTTTGGCTCTTTTTCTTGCTGTTTTGTTCAACCAGCACCTTCTTTCTGTCCAAGTTGAAGCAAGGGATGATTTTATCAGGACCAGAGGGGTCCATTTCCTGTTGAATGGTAACCCTTACTATGCAAATGGTTTCAATGCTTACTGGTTGATGTATGTGGCTTCTGATCCATCTCAGAGGCCTAAAGTCTCTGCTGCATTTCGTGAAGCTGCAGCTCATGGCCTCACAGTGGCTAGAACTTGGGCTTTCAGTGATGGTGGTTATAGACCCTTACAGTATGCGCCAGGTTCCTACAGTGAACAAATGTTTAAGGTATCTTTTATGCTGATTCCTTCTATTAATTTAGTATCTATCTTTACAATCTTTAAAGTTCAATATGAAGATGATTTTGGATCTTTTTTCTTTTTTTTGGAATGTGTTAAAAGGGGTTGGATTTTGTAATAGCTGAGGCTAGAAGGTATCGGATCAAGCTTATCCTGAGCTTAGCTAATAACTATGACAGCTTTGGAGGAAAGAAACAATATGTAAATTGGGCAAGAAGTCAGGGGCAGTACCTGACATCTGATGATGATTTCTTCAGAAATCCTGTGGTTAAGGGCTACTACAAGAATCATGTAAAGGTAAGGTTAGAAACAGAAAATTTTGTACGTTTTCTCTTGCTGGTAATTGATATTGGATTGCCATTTCTGAGAAAGCTGTACAGAGCTGTGTTTTGGTACTGCTTATAAGCGTATAATCATATAACTAAATGTTATCTGTCATTAAAAGCAAAATGAAAATCTAATCTTATGTAAATTCATTTTTCGTTTAGATACTTTCTCAAGTCTTTTTTTCTATGAATTATTATAAATATATTTTTACCTATGACTTTCTGCAGACTGTTCTCAACAGATATAACAGCTTTACTGGAATGCATTACAAAGATGACCCAACAATAATGGCCTGGGAGCTTATGAATGAGCCTAGATGCACATCAGATTCCTCTGGAAGGACTATTCAGGTTTTGACAATCTTCCCTAGCTAGATCTGACGGTCTGTGAAAAGTTGTTTCTTAAGCTAAAAATCAGCTTTTGGGATTTGATTGATTCTATATCCAGGCCATTGAAGCCAATAATTTGCATGTAAGGTTGCAATCAGTTTCATCCACCAGATGCAGTCCACCTCTACCATAAAGATGCTTTTTATATTTGGAGTTATCCCCATTTCTGCATTAATTAGCACTAGTTAGCTAATTAAGTTGCTTTACAGCGTTAGATTTGTCACTTGCCGAACATTTTTAGCCCCATGTTCATGAATGTTAGTGTTGCCAAAAAATTTGATGCCTGCACTAATTTGTTTCAACAACTATCTCTTAAATGTTCTTCGCTTGCATTGTATTCAATGTTCACTTTTAGGTAAGCAGTAATTCGTTGTAACTTTAAGCTATTGATGCGTTGTTGACAGGCTTGGATAATGGAAATGGCTTCTCATGTCAAGTCCATGGACAGAAATCACTTGCTGGGAGCTGGTTTAGAAGGATTTTATGGACAATCAACTCCTCAGAAGATGAGACTAAACCCCAACTTGAATATTGGAACAGATTTCATTGCAAACAATCGGATTCCTGGCATTGATTTTGCAACAGTCCACTCATATCCTGACCAATGGTAACTATCATATAACTTGGAAGGAATCCAAGCATTGAGCTTACTGAATTGAAATCCAATTACTTTGTCAGTTGAGACAGGTCCTCATTAGAAGTTTTAACATAAACATTGTTGCGTGAGCAGGTTATCCAGCTCAAATGATCAGTATCAACTCTCTTTCTTGAACAAGTGGCTCGATGCTCACATCCAAGACGCACAATTCATCCTCCGAAAGCCGGTACTCCTCACAGAATTCGGAAAATCATGGAAAGATCCTGGTTTCAGCACCTACAAGAGGGATCAACTGTTCAACACTGTCTACTACAAGATATACTCGTCAGCCAAAAGAGGAGGTCCAGCTGCTGGTGGCCTGTTTTGGCAACTCCTATCCGAAGGCATGGACTCTTTCAGGGATGGATATGACATAGTCTTGAGTGAGAGCCCCTCAACAGCTAATGTCATTTCCCAACAATCCCACAAGCTCGACCAAATCCGTAGGATCTTTACCAGGATGGGAAATGTGGAGCGGTGGAAGAGGGCAAGAGCCGTGAGGAGGGGTCAGTGGCATGGTAGAAACGGGGGCAGGCACATTGGAAACTGAAGAAAGACAATCAGCTTTGCTTGTGTGAAATCGTTAGTGTGAAGTTTGTGAGGTTTTGGAAGTGGGTTTCTCTCTTAGTGATGAATGTCATTCGTCCAGGAGAGTATAGCTAGGCATTAGGTAGTGTAATTTCCCTGTTAAAAGCTTAAAAGGGAAAGGAAAACAGAAGAGCCTTAGACTTTGTTTCACCATATACTTAAGTTTTGCTCTAAGAGAATGGCGTCAAAATCTAGTGAAGAGATGTTCATTGCCATTCTTTCTTTTTCATTTCAATGGGTAGACTCTAAGAAATTGTTCATCAGCAATCTCAAAGGTTTATGAAATTGAGTGGGTTCTCAATTGATAATAATATTTATCTTTTAAATGTAAAAGAATCATACTTGTATCGAATTGCTTCATTTCATAAGAGAATGATTTACCAGAATTCTAAGTATTTGTGCTTCATTTGTTATGTAGTAGAAATATTTGTTTTATATATATTTAGTTTTTAAACATAATTTAAAAAAACAAACATTTATTTGTACATGATAACAAATATTGACAAAATTTTTGATTGATTAAAACTGACATTTTTTCATTATATTTTTAAACATATTTGTCAATAATCTTGTGGGTGGTGACTTTGGTAATCTAAACTTACCAAAAACATTAATTTTATTTCCAAAATAAATATTAAAATTTTAAAATTTTTAACTTGTATACATACATACATACACACATACATACAAAAGGCTCTCTATCTGTCATGAAGCCCAGATGAACTTTGGGCGAAAGCGCAGTTGTTGAGCGCGGGCGACTCCATCAGTGAGCCCATATATGGCCCAAATATTGGGCTCGGATCCGTCTCTGGTCCAATGGACTTCAGACAATACTTCTTACTCCTCGTTCGTGCTCTTGCCTACTTCTTACTGACAGTAACATGGTACTGTCGATCAGAATCTACAATCTCAGAAAACTATGTACAGTTTCAAGCATCGCTTTCGTCGCAAACAGAGACATCCTCGTTTCACAAACAACGCCTAGCATCTCATCCCTCAAAGCACATGTTCCCAATCATATAAACATGCCCCAACTCAACTCTCATCTCAAACAATTGGTCAAAACGGGCCATCTTAACGAAGCTCGTCAAATGTTCGACGAAATGCCTCACCGAGACGAAATTTCATGGACAACCATGATTTCTGGTTACGTCAATGCCATGGAATCATATGAAGCATTGCTTTTGTTCTCCAAAATGTGGGTCTCACCTTGGCTTTCTATGGACCCCTTCAGTCTTAGCATTGCGCTCAAAGTTTGTGCACTTGATTTTAATTTGAGTTATGGAGAATCACTTCATGGGTATTTAGTTAAATCTGGTTTTATTAACTCAGTTTTCGTGGGGAGTGCCCTTTTAGATATGTACACAAAGTTTGGCAAAATTGAGCAAGGGATCAAAGTGTTTGATGGGATGCCTTTCAAAAATGTGGTTTCATGGACTGCTATTATTACAGGGCTTGTTCATGGTGGGTATTTCAAGAAGGGTTTGGCTTACTTGTCTGAAATGAGGAAATCAGGTGTGGGATATGATTCTTATACTTTAGCTATTGCTTTGAAGGCTTGTGCTTATTTAGGTGCTTTGAATATGGGGAGGGAGATTCATACTCATACTATAAAGAGAGGTTTTCATGATACGTCATTTGTCGCCAATTCTCTTTCTACTATGTATAATAAATGTGGGAAATTAGACTATGGTTTGCATTTGTTTGAAAAAATGCACTCACGGGATGTGGTTTCTTGGACATCTATTATAACTACTTATGTTCAGACAGGAGAAGAGAAGAATGCCATTGAGGCATTTATAAGGATGCGAGAATCAGGCGTGAGTCCTAATGAGTTTACTTTTGCTGCTGTCATCTCTGGTTGTTCTGGTCTTGTGAGAATTAGTTGGGGTGAGCAATTACATGCCCATGTTTTACATATTGGTCTTGTGAATTCTTTATCAGTGGCTAATTCCCTCATGACCATGTATTCAAAATGTGGGCAGATATCTTCCGCTTCAATGGTATTTCATGAAATGACAAGAAAGGATATCATTTCCTGGAGCACTATAATTGCAGTGTATTCTCAAGGAGGCTGTGGGGAAGAAGCTCTTGAGTATCTGTCGTGGATGAGAAGGGAAGGGCCAAAGCCAACTGAATTTGCTTTTGCTAGTGTGCTGAGTGTGTGTGGAAATATGGCTATTCTTGAGCAAGGGAGACAGGTTCATGCTCATGTTCTTTCTGTTGGTTTAGAACAAGATGCGTCAATACAGAGTGCTTTAATTAATATGTATTCAAAATGTGGGTGTCTTAAAGAAGCTGAAAGAGTCTTTAATGAGGCTAAGAATTATGACATTGTGTCATGGACAGCCATGATTAATGGATATGCTGAACATGGATATAGCCATGAAACTATTAATTTGTTTGAGATGCTTTCCAAGGTTGGTTTGAAAGCAGACTCTGTGACCTTCATTGGTCTACTTACTGCTTGTAGTCATGCAGGACTGGCGGATCTTGGTTTCTACTATTTCAATTTAATGAGTAATGAGCACCAAATAAGTCCTTCAAAAGAACACTATGGCTGCATGATTGATCTGCTCTGCCGAGCTGGACGATTAACTGAAGCAGAGCGCATGATTCGAAGCATGCCATTTGATAGAGATGATGTTGTTTGGTCAACTCTTCTTAGAGCATGTAGAGTCCATGGTGATGTTGACTGTGGAAGACGCACTGCAGAAAAGCTTCTTGAAATGGATCCAAATTGTGCAGGGACTCATATCACCATGGCTAACATCTATGCTGCCAAAGGGAAGTGGAGAGAAGCAGCAGATGTTAGGAAGATGATGAGGTCAAAGGGGTTATCAAGGAGCCAGGATGGTCCTGGATTAAGGTTAAGGATCGGGTTTTTTGCATTTGTTGCTGGTGAAGATCTTATCCAGAGGGTGAATTAATATATGGCATGTTGGATTTACTGGCTTCAAGGGTGAATATGTCTGTCCAGGAGTTAGGTTCTCTTCTAGATTTAGAGGATTAGCATGAGATGAAGATTCAGTTCCATTTTTTCATTATAGGTTTTGGCCCCTTTCCGTTGATGCTGTTACCTGTTGAAAGCTGCATTCAGCAGCAGCCAAGAGCTAATCAGTAGTTAACAATAATGACATACAACAATTAGTACTTGGTTTCTGCGCAAACAAAGTTATGAAGACAAGGTCTCCATGGAGCTGATCAGAGAGATCATGCAAGATGGTGCTACTGGTGCTTAAAAGAAATTTGAAGTTAAAATGAGATGGCATCTTTATATGCAGCTTAAATTATGAAGTAAGCAGCAAACATGTTGCACTAGATGGGCGCTGATATTGGGGTAGGTGGATATAACTGGTATGTTGCTTTCCTGTGCACTTATGCGCTGCTAAAGGCAAGCAGTGGCAGTCTGCATTTCTCCAACTCTTCAGAACATCAGAATTTTGCCCGGCTTCTAGTGTAGAATTTGGCTCTCATTTGAGCAAGATTTGCACTTTATAGTCCAAGACAAGCAGTGACAATATTCATCTCTTCGGCATTCGAGGCCTTCAGAATTTACCCGGTATCTAGCAAATTATTTAACATTCTTTTGAGCAAGGTTTTTGAAAGTTACAATCACATCATAGTTCAAGGACGTTGGCTTCTTATGGCAGAGTCTCTGATGACTGATGTTTTTTGTTGGAATGCATTACTTGGATCATCCTTTTACCTTTTTTGAAAGAGGAGAGGGGAGTGGGGTTTGCAGATTCAAGGAGTTGATCAACAAGGTTAAGAGCAGCTTTCTGCGGACCTATTCCCAGTCTTGCGCAAGAAAGTTTGTGGTGACAGTTTTCAGTTTTTAACTAGGGAGTGGAGCAGTTAGATTCAGTATGAGATCAAGTACTTGTATCACATCAAATGTTTCAGAAAAAATAGATAAAGAGTATTTCAAGTCAAATATTTTAGACAAAGTATTTCAAGTCCTGGTAGATTTTGAGAGATTAATAAGCGTGGGATGCTGTTGTGTATCCCATCAAGTGGTTTTTTGGAGAGAAAATAATGATGTGTGACAGTTGAACGTGGTCACTGAAGTGTCAAAAAGATTCTTTCTGGTCTATAGAAGTTAATATACTGTAATTTGTATTCTTTTCCATCACTTGACTTAATTTGGTTTCGTTACCAATCCGCACTGAATCGCCTTTTTAAAGCCTAAAACGCAGAGAATGGAGTTAACGGACTTTTACATAATTAGCTCTGTTAAGCTTCAGACATGAGACAATTATTCTTGTTGTTCATGAAATCATCTGTGGAATCTTTATCCGTCTAAAACTAAATCTATTTACATCGTTCATCTTTCATCGCTAAGCCAATACTGAATCACATACAGAAGAAAGCCAAGGCAAAATCCCGCAGAACCCAGAAGAACAATTACCCGTACCAACAATGAGGAATGAAATGCTTCCAAAACAACAGCTTTCCATGACATGTACCACAAAACCGAGAAAATGGACCCTATGATAGCACCCACAAGGATTTGACTCATCGTGTGAAGCTGCTGTGACACTCGAAGCCATGACTGCAGACCACAAATCAACACAAAAACCAGTGAATGAGATAGAATCATAGATTTCCACCGATGAGAAACCAAGAACTAAGTTTAAAGGTAATTTTCGAGATGTACACTCACAAAATATGAACCAAATGCCAGAGCCAGAGCACTGATGCTCACTGAAAGTTCATTAACTCCCAGCCATTCCAAAACTGTTAACACCAAAAAATCCAGAATTTAAACTCAATTGCGTATTGAAAAATGCAAAGTGAATAGAACAGATCAAAGATTCTCCATGGAGTGAATGTAAGGGCTTACCTGAACCTATGGTAAAAACGATAGTGAAGAAGATGGATTGGGCATGAGAAGATGGCATCCCAGGGTCAGACTTAAGCCCAGCAACAGGCCGCTCCTGATTCAGCACCCTTTTCAGCCCAACTGACAGCAGCGCGTTCAGAATCGACCCCATCGCCACCCATATAGCCTCCGCGTCATGCCTCCACAGAAGCACCCCACCAAACGTCGCTGCCACCAACCACTTGCTCTATCACCCCCAACAAACCAAAACCCCATTTCAGCAAACATAGCAAAAAAAATTACATACGTTTACTTTACTCAAATACGTATCCCAGTATCCCGTATACAAATACACTCACCAAACGATTCAAGGTTGTCTCCAGCCCTCGAAGCCGCGCTGACCCCTCGATGAAAGCTTCTTGCTCAAGCACTTGAAGACCATCATCTCCATTCCTAGAGTCCCTGACCGCTGAAGTTTTAATCATGGTTCTCGGAAGGTCCCACACCCCGGTTTTCTGGGCCAAAAATCCTCCGAGAAAGCTTGGTTTCCGGGCCCGGAACTGACAGAAAAAATCTGGGTTCCAAGATTTATAAAGCGTAGGAGAAGAACCAAGCTTGAATCTAAACAGTGGAGGATGCAAAAGGGCTGAAATTGAGGACATCTTTTCGAGACCCCGTTGGGGAAGGAAGAAAATCAATGGGAAGTGAAGAAAAAATCATTTGCTCTCTCTCGCTTCTAGTTTTGCAGTTTTAACGTGGAAAATGTGTGGACAGAGGACAGGGTTTTTACTTTTTTTCGTTTTTAAATGTGTAATTATTGGATGCGAAAATTCCAAGGCAAGGATCTAGTTTAGAACACTAAGGTTGAATCTCCGAATCTGGACATCTTTACGATGGTTGTTGTAGGATATGCGGCTGTTCTCCTCGATTTTAGGCATGTCTACGACAAGATCTTGCCACGTGTTACACGAACAACGTTTTGCCATGCCTTCCTCAGATTCATAACTAATGCGTAAATTATTTATTTTCATTTAAAAATCATACAAAATAAGATAATTCATGGAAAGAGTCGTCTTTGATTAAAGGGGTAAATAAGAGAAAAGGATTTTTTATGAACCCACTTCTAATCTATTGAATAGTCTTTCCTTGTTAATGTTAACTAATTATAATAATCATAAAAATTATAAACTAAATCAAGATGATTTTATTAATAATAAAATTATTAGATTGCGATATTATCAGTAATATAATTTGTTTTGTATACATACACCTCAAGTCATGTTATTTTGAATACCAAATTTTTTTTCTTTGACTATTGATATCAAAAGTTTTTCCCAAATTAATGGGCGACATGTGACATGTTGGAGCAATTTCTGGACCAGACCAAGGATGGCCTGCAAGAAGGTGATGAACTCGTTGAACTGACCCCATTTTCATGGGAGATCAAGGGCCATAAGTTGTCTTTAGTGTGTCCATATTTGGGCCATAGGCCTGTATAAAACAAAACTGTGGGATCCTTCAATTGCAAGACTTGTCGGCTTTATCCGAGATGCAAATCCAAAGAAGTTATGCTTATGGGTTGTGGCAATCGAGAAAACAAAGAATTGAGGAGACGAATAAAGAGAAGGAATCAATGAAAAGAAGAGTGTTGAAACCGTGTGCACCTAGGTACCTGAAAAGAGAGCATTACAGATGTTGGATTACATGGAACAGTGAGGAATTTTCCAGGATTGCTGCTATAAAAAAGAGGGTTATCATCATCCTTGTGTAGAAAGCATTTCAGTCCACATCATCCACCCCAATAATTAAAGAAGCTAAAGAGTTTAGGCTGCCTCCATCAACCTTCACAAATATTCCTTAGATCTTTACAGGCAAGATAGTCTCCATTATGTTGTTTTAAAATAAAAATGGTTTCATGTTTTGAATCAAAATCACTTTTTAGAGATCATCATGTTGAAAATCACCAATTTCCCATCAAATGATGCTAGAATCACTGAACTTTTAAACTGACTGGTGATTCCATAGAGGGCAATTTCCACCATTGAATCATCTTTCTTTTACCCTTTTTAATGTGTTTATCTTTCCCTTATCTCCTCATGCTTTTGGGATAATGTAGATATTTATGGAGCACACCTGTTTTGAACTGGAGCTGGTAATATACTTGGAAGGAAATAAGGAACAAATTCAGGCTGCAGAGCATGTGGAATATATGAAGTCCATAAAAGAAAAAAAAATTCTTTTCTTTTTTGAAATCAAGGGCCTGCTGCTGGGGAATATATTGCTATGAACTATATGACTTTGTCTGCCAAGTGCATGAGCAATCTATTGAGGATTATGTGATTCTAGCTAGATTATCTTACTTGATTTATTATTCTTAAGAAACTTCCATAATTTTTGTTTGAATTCAGCTACCACAACTTGTCTGATGCATCCTAGGACACTCCAATTTTCCAAAAATCTGCCCCTTCAAGAGCATTTATTATTAAAGTTTAGAATAATCCAGAGATTTTTTTTTCTTTCGTAAATCATTTTAGGGATCAATACAATGTTTTCTTCAATGGTGATGGAGGAACTTATTCTGCTGGGTCATTCTTTATGATCTGCTGTGGTCAGGCAGTATCTACCATGTCTCACATAATTAAATGGTCTTTTTCATGCTAGTGGCTTTTTCCCTTAGCTTCTTTGACAAATTTGCAGTTAGATCTCTAGGATGACAAGGCCTAGAAAAGTAAACCAGGGAGGGGCCAAAGTATAGCCTTGAGTTGCCTGAATGCCTCCATGACTTTTTTTTTCTTTTCCCATAGCTCTCTTTTAAGTTGAATGACAGATATCTTATCCACAATATCAATGGCATTCGGATGAATCAGGGTATATGTCTTGGAAAAGATTGCAATTCAATTTTTGTCTGATAAAACACAAAACTCATCCAAAAGCAGGTTACAGAATTCTAATTCTCCAACACAATTGCTTGATTACTCGACTCTTAACTCTCAAATGAACAGTTGAACCCCAAGGTCCCTTCTGCAATGTAATTGTCAAGAGGTTTTGGGTCTGCTGGAAAAGCAGGCAGGGGATGTGGATGGGGCGGGAGAGAGAGTAGGGTCCAAATCATAGAAGGACTCGTGCAACGTGTAGGGAGCGGATGTCCTGGTGTCTTGGGAGGAAGAGACACTACAGATTTTATCAATCTCAATCTCAATCTCAATCTCAGAGAAGAGAAAGTGAGAGCCTGGTGGTCAGACTTCAGAGAAAGGAGAGAGGGCCACCGAGTTTGGTCCTGTCTGAAAGAAGTTTGGCCCACGAGGTTCCACAACCGCGACAAGCAGTAGCCTAGAACACACACAGACAGTGTCAACTTTGCATGAGGACCCTGGTAAAGTGGCAATGGGTGATGAAAGCTAAACTTTTCCCTTTTTTCTCCCTTGATAAAGATAATACGGGATTTTCTGTATCCGAAAGATCTAAATCAAATTAAATGGAAAGACCAAAACAATAATGCTTGAAAAGAAAGGTACCTGGCAAATTTTAGTCTGCTTTCCCTTTTCTTTATTGCAAGTTAGGTGACAGGCAGAACCCATGGTAGCACCTACAGCACAGTTAAAAGTCCATAGTTTTGAAAACAACAAGCAGGATTCAATCAATGTCAGATATAAAAAACGTTGGCTCTTTCATTTCATTTCAAATTATGAAGGCCGAGTCCTTTCCACATGCCATGCACTGCAACAGCCTCCTTTTTGCCCCCAGAAACCGTTTCCGAATTTATATCAAGTAGTATTAGCATTAATGGTAACTTTAATTCCATGCATGCATGAAATGGATTACACTTATGATTGCAATTTAGGGTTTAAAATGGCAGTAAAGATATGATTCAAATCTCCATATAAAAACCCAGAAATTGTATAAAATTTTTATGGCATTGTACTACTATGTGAACAAATGGAGAGCCAGTGGCAGCAGCTATTAGCCCATGCCAAAATCGATGACAACTACAGGATTCGTGAAAGCTGCTTACATCAAAATGTACAGAAATCATCATCGGCAACCGAGATACAATAAACTTTAGAAAAAAAAAATAGGAAATTAAGGTGAATAAAAAAAATTCAATAAATAAAGGCGCACAAACAATCGCGTGTCTGACAAATCACGTCTTCTCTATTGCAGTTGCTAAGACAGAAGATTTGTCAAGGACAAAAATTAAAAATCAAAAATAAAAAAGAGCTGTAACTATTAATTACGATTATCTAACCAGCAAGTAAAGGATGAGAAATTTTTACAGTTTCTTTCCTCCCTTTTTTGGCAGTGATCAATTTCAGGGCCCACGTGATAGCATACAGCAGAGGCTGCTGCCCGTGGCTTTGTGCTGGTAATACGGACTTGGTCACTGTGCAGAGTTTTTCTTCATACCCTTTGCCCTCATGTCTTCCTCCTATGCTTGTCTTTAGAAGATGAACGTGTAAATTAAAAGCAATCAATACGTACGGTTAATTGTATTTAAATATTTAATTTATTGATTAATATATAATTTTTTATTTAAAAATATAATTTAAATTTTAAAAAAATAAAAAAATTGCAGTGTTGATGCTAACAATTTTTGTCTGAGATCGTGTCGGAGCTTGAGCTCCAAGTAAGAAGGAATAGAAAACCAATTAATTATAGAAATAAAGTCAGATTTGTCATTGTACTATGAGTCAATATTGAATTTTATCATTACACTTGGAATTTTATGTTAATCCCATTAATTGTAAGTGAACAAATTTAGACTTATTGTCTATACATCAGGAGGCAAGCATTTAGATGTAAATATTTAAGGCAAAACAGAGAAAGATAAGAAAAGGTGAAAAGGGGCAGAGTCCTTCTCTTTAACTTCAATGCAAATTAAGATAACAAAGCAGGGACCAAAAAAAAAAAAAGAGAAAAAAAGCATTAAAAAAGGAATGTTCGGGCCAGTCCATATAATTGTTGTTTGAATTTGTACAACAACTCGTGAGGATAACGATGTTGGCACCAATGGACCAGGATTACCTAAGCCCCTTCCCTTCACGTGAAAACTCATGATCCCATTTCTCTTCCTTGACTAATATTTATGAATTTCCAGTCAATTTTTTTCACATAAATCATTTCTATCCTCTTAAATTGTTAAATTTATTTAATACATTATCAGCATAATCTCAATTTAAAATTAATCTATTTATTTATAATTGTGGATTTAAGTCGTGTCTGTAGATATCCATTAGCATTTTTATGATAATAATTTTATAAGACAAAAACTTGAGAAGCTAAAGGATGAAGAGAAATATCTGCACATGTCCTGTACTTTGAGGCCCTCTGATCTACCCAATCTTAATGGATATTACTATATATTGATTAGACCCCTTTTAAACTTTATTATAATTATTAAAAATAAAATTTAATAAATAAAAAGAAAAGTTCGATGACTATGAGTCTATATAAGCATTTCCCTACAAAGGGTCAGTTCTCTGAAGACAAGCCGCGCTGCTCTTCAGTGAACGACTCCATAACCGTACCCTATCACCTTCTTTTTTAATTTTTTTTCCGATTCCTTCATTTACTTTCCCGTAAAATCAAAATCAGTTTCCAGAGAAACAAACGGTGGTCTTTTTTTTTTTTTTTTTAACTTTTCAAATACCTTACGCTTTGTCACCTTTTGCGGAATGCCTTGATACTCGTTGTGGATATGGATTCGTTTGATTTCGATAACGTGAAAGCGGAGAAAGTTAAGGCGATGAGGAGGTACAATCGGCTTCGGAGCTTCACGAAGGCGTTTCGTTTCGTGGAATTGCTTGTGGCTTTGCTGTTCTTGGCGTGGACCTTCGAGCGCGTGCCTTTCGCCGTCAAAATCTCCGGCGAGTTCGTTTCGAGACTCGGCGGCGTTGTCGCTAGTCCGCTGTTCGTTTTCCTCGTCTGCAACGTCATCATCGTCATTCTCGTTGCTAAGTCCGGCGTCTTCTCTGCCGTTCACAATGCGGATTCTAAACTCTACGAGGAAATCGTCAAAAACGCCGATGATCGCTCCAAAATGGAATCTCGAGAAGAGATCGTGTATCAAGACAAGGAGATCATCTCTGTAGTGAGCACATGTACTCACACGTTCGAAGAAATGGAGCCGGAGCCGGAATCAGACTCGGATGCTGAGGTAGATACTCCGAGAGTTTATCGGAGGTGTAAGTCGGAGAAGGTGGCGATGAAGCAGAGTGAGGAGAAAGTGAAAAAGGAACTACGACGATCAGAGACCGAGAAGTGCCGAAAATTTGAAAATATCGATGAGAAATTGTTTCCCGAAGACGAGTTGAGCAATGAAGAGTTCCAACGAACGATCGAAGATTTCATCGCCAAACAGTTGAGGTTTCGCCGAGAAGAGTCTCTGTCTATTGTTCCTCAAAACCAAGCTTGAAAAAATAAAAAAGAAAAAAATTAACCACCAAAAATAATAAAAAAAAAAGACATTGAAGATGAAAACTGTTAGTTACTGTTTTCTTTTTTTAAACTTTTCCTTTTTTACCTGTTTATGGTATTATTGTACAGTGGTAAAAAGATAATGGCCTAATTCGTAATTACCACGTGATTTTTGTTAACAAATAGTATAATTATGTTTTCCATTTAATCTTTTTTTTTGCTTATTCCTCATATTTTTCCCTAATATTTTAAGAAATACAATGGTGAAAAGTGAAAAAAATGAATTGAATTTATTCGAAATTCGAATAAAAAATATTGTTGCCGAATTCATTTAATATGTTACTTTTTAGTTGTATTGAATACGATACATAAAAAATCAGATAAAATAATATTTTGAGGATAAATTATAAATAAAATGATTAATTAGAATTGAATCATCGTTCTCGTTTTGTTTTTAGTGTAGGAAAACGATAATGTGTAAATTAATCGTGATTCTCTTTTTCTTTCTTTCTTACCAAACATAATGTTAGCAAACTTGTAAGGTGAATTTGGACTTTAATACAAATATAGAAATAGTTATTATGACTGTGATGAGACTTTAGGAAGCATATAGAAAAACATAAGAGTTAGTTAAGCAATCAATCCAAACTTTTTATTGCTTAAGGCTATGCAATGATTAAGTAAATAACAAGCTTGAATATTGGGTGAGATTGAACTCAAATGTGTAGAAAAAAAAGTTGCAAGGCTTTTCTTTGTAGGAATGATTGATAGTCTAATCAATCAGCCCATTGTTTTTTATTTTTATTTTTATTTTGGGTTTGCTTTTTATCAGTGCAAATTGAGCAGTGTCCCCACAAAGGAATAATTTCTAGAATTCCTACCTTAAGCAGCCAGAATTTAGTGGTTAAAAGCATCAATCATCATCCAATAATCTTCAAACCCCAAAGTCTTCTTTCTAATCTACTTTCATTACTTTTACTTTTCCATGCAGTATTTTTTGCCTACCCAACTTTATTTCATTCCTCCACTTTTGCTTTACAGAGGAAAAAAAAAATAATTAATTCCCCCATGAAAGACAATTGGGGGTGGTTGAATTCGCTATATCAAAAATGGGGTTTTTAACCCAAACTCAAGGAACAAATTTTGCTTTCATTCATCAAACATATATTTTTTTTTCTTTTTTTTATCATGAATTAAATTTTTAAATCTTCTCCTTAATCCTAAGCAAAATGTCAAAACAATGACACATTGCTTTGGCCCTTTGAACTCTTTGATGTCTCTTTTTCCCTTGTCCAAATGTGGCCAAAGGAAGGCTTGTGGGGCTAGTTTTAAAATGGAGTCAATTGGGGTGGGTGCCTGCCAACAGACATTGCCTTTTTCTAAGTGTTTACATTCTTTCTTTCTTTTTCCATTTGTAAATTCAACAGCTTGCAAATTATGGATTTAATAATTCTATTTAATGTGCCTTTTTTTTTCTTCCAATCAATCTTGGAAACCACTCTTAATTAAGATTAATATTTCCTCTATATTCATCTCCACCACCTCTAAATGAAGATTAAGCAATGTGTCATTTCTTTCTTTTCTTAATGACTGTAACCCATGTTTTTATATACATTTCAATTACAGTAATTGAAGGAACTTTTAGGATGGATTTGACTATTTGTATTTGATCCAATGAGCATCCAAAATTTGATCAGTTCTTGTTTGTTAAAGTACAAATTATATACAAGCTATTGATTAAGTTCAATATTCTCCAAAACCCACTTTTTTTTTAAAAAAAGAAACTAACTTAAATTAATTATTAAGTAAAGTATAAAATTGAATTCATATTTTAAGCAAGGCAGAGATAAATGTAAGTCTGGACTTGAGAAAGTTTGTCCCACAGGGGCAACAAAGATCTATTTGATGGCATGTTTTAGTGATGGTTTTTGCCCCATAGTTTAATGAGGGGTTCTTTTAATGACAAGAAAAAACCCACAAAGAGAAGGCATCTATTCCCTCAGGTCAGCAGCATTGGCCTATCATTTCTAAAAACGAAAAAAGGGGTAGCACTATCACCAACTCTGAGAATAAATTCTCTTTTCCTCTTCGTTTCAAGGCCTTAGTTACCAGTTGTTGTGTTTCTTGATGGGTAATATGCCTATCCTTTGCATCAGATTTCAGTCATAGACTTAAACGAGATGATGTAGATTAATAACTATAGCTTAATCTTGTTTGTTCCCTGGCAGTAGGTTCAGATTCTAATGACATTGTGGGTTCTTCTGGATAAAACCATTAATGAATATAAATCTTTAAATTAATAAAACCGAGAATGATAGAGAATTCGAATCTTGAGCTTGATTACTTCTTTAAGAATATCGTCAAACCATAGCATCGTTTTGATTTATCTTTACCTAATTGCTATGACAAAAAGTTTGGGTAAATTTTATTTTTTGCTCTTGGCAAGGTGGTAATTTGCACCGTATTTGTGCAAATGCAAAAGAATCCAAAAATTGACTAAATGCATATATTCTGCCATGGTTTGGGAGCACAATCATGATGGGTTTCAAATCAGCTACCAAAGGCCACTAAGAAATGGCAGGGTTAACCTTCTTGATTCCCTCTTTCCCTTATTGGTTTCTTGCAACTTTTTCTGTCCGGGAAAGCACCTATCTAAATCACCCTGATTTTTTTGCAAATATCATTCCCAAAATTTTGCACTTTGGCAGAAAAATTCAAACTTCCATCATCAAGTTCAAAGCATCTACAGTCCCCTCATTACCCAAAATCGAAACAACTCCACGCTTTCAGTGGTGCTTGGGTAACCCATAGCTAGCAATCATGGGAGAAAGACACGGCAGGGAGGGGGAACAGATGCCCAGTTAGCCAACAAATGCTGGGGGGTTGGGACAAAATATCCTTGCTCGTGTACAGCACTCAGCACAGATCATGTTGTAGTCCAATTGTCCAAAAGCTCGGAACATAAATGTCTTTACCTTACATCGAAAACACATTGGGAGTCTCAATCTTTGTTGTCATTGACAAGAAACCAATTACAGTATCCTAATGGAGATTGTGCCCACTATTCAACACCATGTCATGCCATATGTCTTGCAAATAACAATCACTCTTTCAACTTTCTAAAGGGCCCCTATAAATGGTAGTAAAAGAGACGCTAGAAAAAGGCGAAGGTGAACGAGCCCCCATCAGAAACCCATTATATATGTAAAAGATAGCAAGACAAAATAAATGCATGTATTTATTTCTGTTGGTTTTCCAGTTGGCCACAGTTGGTAATTAGCAGCTGCTTAATTAGATAGCATAAATGTTTTTTTTTTAACAAAACTTTGAATGATGAAAAGTTGGGTTGAAGGGATTCAAATGAGTAAAATTATTAGTGCAGATTACCTAGTGAAATTACTCTTAAAAGGCAAAAGAAAGGTTTGTAGGCTTTAGCATAGTCAGCTATAAAGGTAAGGCCATTAAACACCTTCAAGGGCTTTTACAGCAGTGAGGCCCCGGAAGACATTTTTCAAGAGCTGGGGTCTTTGGTAGTCTGTCTGGTTATCTTGAATGTTTGGTTGAATTATTGAATAGCCTGTCTCAATGCGTATGCTTATGTTTACCTATATTCCCCCCTGATAATGGCATGTGCATTTTACCAGGATGTGTTCATGGTGGTAATGTCTGTTGAATTTTTAAGTTACTGACAGGTGCAGCTACAAAAGTATTTCATATATGCAATTTATACAAGCATGTGTGGTTGCTTAAAATGCTAACCAAAAATTTACTTCTTGCTCCCCATTTCTTTATCTGTAAATCGTGACCTTTGTTATTGTTTTTTACCTCTGCTGTTTTTACCTGCAATTGACTTAGAATGATTTCAATTTTCCCAATTCATCAAGGATTACTTTTATGATTACTTTTGAACTTGCCATGGCAATCCAAAGGGACTAAGCGTACACAGCAACATGGGGAAACAGCTAGAGTTTCCTCTAAACTGAGTTTGAATCAATGAATATTCAACATATGTAATCTGTAGCCTGTCTATATCAGAATAAAGAAAAAGAGATGGTTAATTCAACAACATTAAACATCTCTTTCGGAATCTGAAATCAAGGGGAGGATAGAATAATGCATGGAAATTATCAGTTAAATGCTGACTTTAATAGGTTCAAATCTCTGCTACCCCCTACCTAACCATAGCATGCCTGCCATTAAAAGTTTCATACAGGTGTCAACAAAGGCAATCACTATATTACATAAGCAAAAAAAAGTAGAGAATGCTATACATCAAGGGTAATTTTCACATTTTCTAATGCCCGGGTATTAAGGGTTAGGTAAGTTTGGTCTTGTCCATACTTCCTTATATCATTTCCCATTATCTGAAGAAGATCATATTAATTATCTGCCATCTCAGTCAATTAGGCCAAAGTGTTCTTTTTCTATTCAGAAAAATCTGCAGTCAAACTGATGCAGTGATTGTTTATGAAGTTCACGTCAGTTTGTGTCCCCTTTCTATGGTTCCTAAGGGTTCCATTTTATCTTATTAGGTACTAGAATAAGAGGGAAAAAAAACAGATGAGAAGAAAAGATGCTAAGGAACAAACTTTTTTATGTTTTAACGGTGAATGTTGTTGCTTTTAGGATAGCTCATTGATAAAATTTATGGCTTTCCCGAACGATGGATTAGTTTAAACAAAGATCTTCTGTCTCCATTTGATGCCTCGTTTAATATCTTTTTTACTATTTTGCATTACGTTTTTTTTTTTCTTACAATTTTACATTGCGTGTATAATAAACTACTCATATTCATACTTAAGTTTCAATAATTTTTATTCGGATCCATTCGTTCATTCGGCAGTTAATTCATCTCTCTGAGGCCTTACCTATAATACTTTTGGTAGGCCTATGCCCACATTGCAAGGGCAAAGAGTGAATTAAAGGCCTACTACAGCGGCCAACCCATTTGGAGGCAGAACCCTGATCTGTTTTAGACTAATATAGCTAACTGTGAGCCCAAGTCTATGGGCTAGGACAGCACCATGGCCAACAAAAGGCCTAGTACTTTTGGTTGGTCTCTTGAGCCTTCAGCTCTTGATTGCTTGGCAAAATTCAATCCCAAGTCAAAGTTTTGTATTAAAAATAATTGGATGGAAAATAAAATTAAAAGGAATGACAGAAGGGGGCTAAATAGAAACAAGAGTACTGAACTTCTTATCCATATGAAAAGGATCCCTCACTCTCTTTTTTATCTCTTCAAAGTAGACAAGGGAAACCAAACTATAGGTTAACTAGTGAACTGGTCCATACTTTAAAAAGGTTCATACCTTTTACCATTAAGATTAAAAAAAAATCTCTTCCCCATGTTTGAACATAGGAAAGGCATTTCCAACTTTCCAAGGCAGGGCAAGGCAAGGCATTCACAGTAAACAGTTTGAAACCCATGCTGCAACAATATACACATGTTTAAATAGATGGATAACATAAATATTCATAATTTCTTAAGAACTACAACAAAAGTGATGGGTTTAATTTCTTGTTTAGCCATTTCTTCATCTACCATTTCCCCATAGTTGTTAAACAAGGTGTCTAAATCTATCCCATCTCCAAAATGGTTGCAGATCATGGATTCTTGGATAGCCCTCACTGTCATTGCCACTGCTGTGCCATAGCTCTCTCCATCCTTCGCTTCCCTCTCTATCTCGAACATCTCTAACCTGTCTACTTCGAAGGACCCTTCCCTTCTCACTTCACCTTCTATTTCACTTGTTGATGGTGCATAAAAATGCACATCGTAAGAATCAAGCTTTTCCTTGTCAATTTGTCCCTGCATAAAGGGAAGATGTCAACAAGAAGAAGTATCAAATATGTATTATGCATAATTATAATTACATGATCCAGATGTAAAAAATCTGGGACCTGAGAAACCGAAGTGGCAAGGGATCTTGAGAGAATTTCCCAGAAGAAAGAATTGCCTCTATCAACATGATCTTGGCCTATTCTTCCCAATAGAATGAGCACCATTCTCCCGCCTGTAACTAGCTCCACAGATCGTGATTTCAGGAACAATGAAAAGTCCTCTTGGAATTGGTTCCAGTAGGCTTGGGACACACTTGGAGGGCTAGATTCAGAAATGTAAACGTTTCCTTTGTTGACAGACTTGCCATGCTCATCGTAAAGAGCTGGAGGTACCTGCATGGCATAGTGATGATTAGTTGAATTTCTTGTCAGCTCATCAAGAAAGAAAAAATCTAGAGACTATTAACATGCTTGTCAACTCCTTAAATTGGTACATGCATTTTGAAGGAGACGAAGAGTTTGGTCAATTACTGCTGGATTTTGTTTGTTAAGCTGCTTTTGGTTTGTACTAGACGAAGTGACTTTCTTGGTTTGTCATTGGCTCATTTCAACTGAGTAGGAGTCTTTCTAAATAACTCAGAGTTTTAAAATCTTAGAGGAAAACAATAGAACAGAGAATTAATCTCACCTTGGAGAGCCAGTGTAAACTGTAAGATGAATAGATGAAGTGCAAGCAATTGTTTGGAAACAGTCTTCCATAGAATGAACCAGGGTAGCCTGCTATGAAAATAGCAGGGCCACCTTCATTTCTGTCTTTCTTAAGGTCCCTATAAAAATCAGGCAAGGACTTAAAGACTGAATTGAAGTCGTTTGTTGGAAGATCATTAAGGTATACTCGAAATTCTGGTAGGGGATGAACTAATTTATAGCTAGTTTCTTCAACAAGTTCAACAATATCTTTGATGAGAGATAAGGAGTTGGGTCCAGAAGAACAGCCCAAATCAGCTATGCCTAAGCTCTTCGGAGCTATAGCATAGTAAAGTTTTTGTATTGTTTCCATGGTTATATGTTTCACCATATCTGATGCCTTTTTCTGTCAAAACAAAAATAGTCAAGAAGAAGACATAATTAGAAGAAAGAAAAGACTGAAAATGGAGAGAGAGAGAGAAGGGAAGTCCAAACCTGGAGAGAAGAATTCTGGGCATAGCTAGTCTTGCCGACTCCTCCAGTCATATGAAAGACTTTCTCCACATCCATGTTGGTCAGTTAGCCAGCCAGCCAGTGCTTGTGAATTAGAACTAAGTGGTGCTTGCTTTGGTCTCCTTTTAAAGGCAAAATCAATGATAAAGCCCTTTACCTTTCGGTTTTTGTTTCTTTTCTTAATATATATGTTACTTGTCATGGTAGTTCAAGTTACATTTTATCAATGATGATTACACTGTCGTGGCAGGGCCGCTCCTGAAAGAACCCTATCTCAGATTTGTTAGTGCTCCTCTTGGTTTTTTGATGGGACAACCATTCAAAGTCGTGTTCATGTGTGAAAGCTTTGCATGTAAATCAAGAGCAAGAGAATTAAGCATGTACAATCATACTCCATTATATGTTCAAGAAAATATGGAGCTAATTAATTTGATTTTTTTTTACCTCAAATGGATTTTTCCTTTCATTTGAGGGGATGGGAAATACCAAGAAAATCATATATCAATCGCTGATCGACTATGCGTTTATAGTTAAAATTGCTGGAAATAGCCATGCTCACATTTGGTTGAAATCAATGCAATAATTCTGGCGTGTATTAACCCTTGCCAAATTGGGGCGTGAACCTCTAAAAAGTTGAAAGAGATTACCATTAAGAGAATGGTTAGGTGCATGTCACCTCTTCCTCTCATTAACATTTTTTTATTGTAATAATTGCTGGGGTTGCTTTCCTCTTCTCAAAGACGAAAGGCCTAAGTTGTCTCGTTCACTTCTTTTCAACTCTCATGTGAATCCCGTTGTTGGACATGGCAGCGGTCTTACTTTGAAGCAATTGGTTGTGAGAGTTTGTGTGGCAATTGCACATCTGATGAGAGAATTTCTTTTCTTAAGTGCTATCTTGTATTGGGATTTGATGATCTCAACTTTTCCCATGGAGTCCCACTAGTCTAGGAAGCAACCTCCAGTTTATCAAATCATGCAACTTTGGTAGGGCGATGGGGAATTCTTCTTGGCCGTACAAGAGTTGGACAAATGGCAGGCAAGGGATGCGCCGATGCACTGACCCTGCCATTCATGCTGTGGCGTGGACTCTGTGGGCATCCTTGTGGTCAGGACCGCAAGGTTCCAATCGCAATCAGGATTCAGGGGGCACTAACCAATTTCTCGGTAGCCGGGCCCAGTCAAAAGGCCGGGCTCCCCTGCAGCTTTTTAAGGGAGAAAATGGAATGTAAAGACTATAACGGCCGAAAGGGTACCTCGAGGAACATATAAAGGATATTAAAGATTCGTTTGTGACTGACTTTGGGCACTTATCAACGTGTTCTTAACTTATACGGAAAAATGAATACAACATATATTAAATTAAATGTTGGAATATCTATTAATTTCTGATTCGTGTTCATCCTTTTTTTTCTTTTCTGATTTTGAAAATGATTTACTGATAAATCTATAACACATGTACAAATTCGACGTTTCATTTTTTGAATATTTAAACTCCACAGCATTTGTATATCTTTTCAACTCAAAAATCTCACTTAAAATTAAGTTTCTCTTACTTCTTTGAACAACTATCTTGGTGAGACAGAGAGCACACACTTGATGAAGATCAAGGATACTGTGACAAAATAGTACCCAATTCGGGTTACTCGTTCAAGGTGCTACTTGTTTCCATTTTGTTAAATTTTAAATTCATTGTCTTTGCCAAGATTCAAATACGAGTCTGTCATAGTCCATTACGACCAGTACGGGCATATGCACCGCACAAAGAGGAGCACAAACAACATAGGGAGGCAAAAAAAAAAAAAAAAAAAAGGAAAAGTAAACCCTGTGGATGTCCCCATACATCAATATTTCACTTTAGCTTTGCCTTTTTTTTTATTCCCTAAGCTTTTTGCTCCTCCCCATATACATAATGCGTTAGGCAATTATGCAACTCCTGTCCTCTTGGCTCTTCTCCCTCTCAGAGAAAGTATATATTTTTCTCTTTTGTTTCCTTCTCCACCACACCTTTTTCCTCCTTTCATCACAGGACTAACCTTTTGTCTACGCATTCAGAAAATTGATGTTTCTTTTGAAATTTTGTTGTATAAATGGAAAAAGTAAGTCCTTCCTTTTTCTTCCATGATATATACATATATATATATATATATAT